CCCCCCCCTTGCCCCCCCCCCCCCCCCAAAAACGAAAAACCCCCAAAATTACCGAAAATTAGGTAATTATGTACTATAAAGTTCACCCCACAACCCCAACCAAATTTTAGTTTTAAATCAGAAATAGGTTTGGGCATAACATAATTAAATAAATAATTAAATAATTAATATAAAAATTAAATAAAAAATAAATATAGGCTCGTTAGATTTAAATAAACAATAATATAAATCATGGTCTCTACAAGCAGATTTGAGAAGATCAATTTTATTATATAGTTTTAAATTAACAAAGATCATAAGATTAGACAAAATTTGTGGGACGTTTCGACACTGAACTTGTGTCTCTTCAGCCGAAAAATTACATTAATTATTTAATAATACGCGAATCGAGTCTAATCATACTTTCAAAAAGCGCAAATGTGGTTGTTGATCTCCATTCTTTTTTTGATTAACTTTGTCTTCCATGCAATCCAATGTCTCTGGTTTTTCCTTGAAGCCCATGTGTTGTCCATGGATGAATTTTAACGTCATATTGGTCAAACTCTGTGCGTGTCACAATGCATTGTCAAACAATGTCTATCGATTTTTACAAAGTTACTATTATATGATACGAATATTACAATCTAAATGTAGCGTAAATTATCACTTACATCTTGTGTATAATACATAAAATTATCAAAATGTCAATTATTAAAATTTTTGTAGATGTCAACTAACGTGGTCACAAACTTAAAATGAGTGGGACTTGCGTCATGTTGTGTTTTTAAAGGTTCTGTTGATTTTAACCGCGCAAGCGTCAAGCAACAAATATGAAAATCATCATTTAAGTTTTTGAGATATTGAGTAACGGAAAGTATACATGGTCCAACAATTCAACTTCGTCCATAATATTGAGGCCATTTTTTTGTTGTTTTATGAAAATCGCTTCTGAGATTAATCTTTTATGATAATTCGATTCATGATCTAAAATTTTAACATTGTCCCAGTCTAAATGATGATTTTTTTCATATATGCGTTGAGAGACCACAGATTGTTTTTTGTTAGACCTATGTTCATTGATTCTGGTTTTTAATTGTCTCTTTGTTTGTCCCACATATGATGCATCGCAATTGGTACATTCAATATTATAAAAAACATTCTTATTATAAAGTAGAGGACTAATGTCCTTGTGGACTTTAATAAATTTGTTGAGACGATTAAAACACTTGAACCCAGTGTGGCAATATCAATGTTTTTAAATGGAACGGAAACTATTTCGGAAAGACCTTTAATGTAAGGTAACTCTACATATTTTTTGTTATTATTGTTGTTAGTGTCATTGCTTACTGTGTGTGTGGTGTTATAATTTCTGTTTAAATTAACCGTGATAAGCTTTTTTAGTCTAATGTGAATGTATTTGAAAATAAAGGGAAGAGGATAACCATCGTTTATTAAGACGTTGATGCAAAAAATTATGTTTTTTTTCATGAAATTTAGGATGAGACAATAAAATAGCTCTGTCGATTAGGCTGTATATAGTGCCTATTTTGTGGCAGGTTGGATGGTTGGAATAAAATGACAAATACCGACCCGAATATGTCGGTTTTTAAGACCAATCAACGATCAGATGTGTGTCATTGTTATAAATTTTTAGATCTAAAAAACTAATGCATTGGTTTTCTTCTAGCTCGCATGTGAATTGTATTCTATTGTGATATGAGTTAAAAATCTGTAGGATCTTGTCAACTAAAGTCCTGGGAGCTGCCAAAAAAATGTCATCAACATATCTATAATAAACCGATAAATTGAAACCAATCTCAGACAATGCTCTATTTTCTATATCTTGTAAAACGATGTCCGCTATGATTGGGGACAACGGGAAACCCATGGGGGTTCCAAATGTTTGTTTGTAAATGTTGTTCTCAAACGTAAAATATGTGGATGTCAATATAAATTTGATAATGCTAATAAATTCATTTTTTGGTATGTCAGTTATTTTTTGAATATATGGCCATCTATCATTCACACCAGACAATGCTAAATCTATGGGCATATTGGTAAACAATGACACCACATCCAAAGAAATTAAAACGTCAGACTCATCTATCTCCAAATT